GTTTTTTTTTTTTTTTTTTTTTTTTTTTTTTTTTTTGTACCGAGGATCAAACTCGGGTCCTTGTGCTTGTGATGCGATGCAGGTGGTGGAATCTCTAAGCTAAATCCCCGGCCCTAAATATGTAAAATGTGCTCACCTGGATTGGCTTGGAGCACCAGCAAGTTACCAGGCTCATGGTTCTCTTCCTGACTGGGTGGCCGGACTTCGGCTCGGTCCCTGTGGTCCCCTCAGCATACTGGGAAGTCACGCAGCCAGTCGGATGGAGCTGTCCAAGGTAACGTGCTCACTTCTGCGGGCCATGCCGAGCGTGGCGGGAACTCTCTCCTCATGTCTCCCACTCTGGATTCTCCTGAGTGAGTCGGAAGTGCCAGGGAGACCAGGCTCCAACGATGTGCTCATCAGGCCACTGCTCGCATTGAGTTTGCTGATGTCTCATTGGCCAAACCCAGTCACATGGGCCAGGAAGGGGTCTAGACAGAGGTGGACGATACAAGAAAACATGATTCATTAATGTTCATTGATGTAACAGTCACACCTAGGCTTACGGAAGTTCCTGAATAAAACAAAGAATAGATCCACCCTATGATCCATTCATCAGTATGTGCCCAAGGGACTTATCACCTATTCTTGATTATAAATTGACCAGCTGTTTTGTGTGTTTCTCTTACTCTTGCAGAAACTTGTTTAAATGTGTTGTTCAGAGACCCAGTCTTGTTTTGACTGTTCTTGTACCCCTGTCAATATCACTTAAAATGATAAGTGCCCCACAGCTCTCTGTCCAAGTAAGATCCAGGAGCATGGTCATCAGCGCTGGCTTGTGTTGGTCTTGTGTCTCAGCCGTGCCCTTGGTCCTCAGGAGGGCAGAAAGCTCCTTCAGAAGATGTGCTTCCAGCCAGGACTTCTCTTAAATGCGTCCTTAGGGTCCAATGAGAAGGAAGAAGCAATTGGCAGACAGCACATTTTCCATTAATTATTCTCAAGAGATGAATGAGACTAGCAAGTGCGAACCTTCTCAGCAGGTCCTTTTGAGTCCTTATCTGGGCCCCTTGTGATCTAATTAGGACCCATCGTTCACATAATGCTTTCTGTATGAAAACTCTGTCCTAAGCATTCTGTGTACATTGACATGGTACAGTAGACTGGGCAGCAGGCACGTGTCCCACAGCCCAGTGCTTAACCCGGGATACTCTCTCGTGTGCAGTGCCTAACCCAATCAAATCCCAAGCCTTCTTTACAAACTAGAAGTACAAGTGAGCTTTAGAGTTATCAAGACAAAGTCTTCGATTTGGCTTTTATAGTTAAGGTCAAGTTACTCATCATGAAGTTCTTGAAATATAGGGTTACTATAATTTTCTTAGTAATGAGCCAATGCTACCATGATTACTTTTCTACCTGTTTTGGTAGGAAATACTTTGACAAGTTTTAACTATTCCCTTTCTTAATAACATACCATGGATATCTTCCACACTAGCATAATTTTGGTGAGTGCATAGTATGCTCTTTTACAGTCATTTCATAGTCTACTTAACAGTACCATTCTTGTTAACATTTAGTTTCATAACCAAATTTTAAAATTTTAACTATTATAAACAGAACTTAAATGTCTCAATTTCATCAGCTGAAAGATAAAATTTCTTCTGATGATGGTATCTAATTTAAAAGCCCACACTCCCACCCCACATGACTCTATAAGCCCAAGTTTTCTCACATTCTCCTCCCAACACACTCGGAAATTATCTCTGGCGAGTCCCAATAAATGCTGTGTGCTCTATACGTCCCTCCAGGGCGTCCTTGCTATCAGTCAGAAATCAGGTTTAAGACTGCTGCCCTGCCTTTAGAAAATCCCTCATCATTTCTTCCTCTTCTACTGTTTCACTCACTTTATCCCATAGAGATAGCTGATATATATCTTGGTGATAGTATAATCACCAAGACTTTACTTAGAGTTTAGCAAAAAACAGAAGTAATGTTCATTTGAAGGGAAACCAACCAGGAGACAGGTGATCTGAGGGGTCCTCTTTCTACAGGCCAGGCCCTCCACATGGTCTCCTGACGTCCAGGTCCTTGCTGGTAGCACAACCCACCTTGCTTCCTCCAGGGTGACCACCTGGAATGTTATGTCCTGATAAGGCTTTAGGTTCCCAAAAGTCAGCTGCACATAAGGAAGCTGTTTCACTGCCACCTGAAACTACTAACAGACTCAATAAAGCACATGCTTTCCTGTGTCAACAAGACCCCTTCCCTAAAGATGAAGTACGTACGGGCTCTCAAACCAGCTGTTGGGAATGTTTTCTTCCTGTGATGATTCATGTTAGGCAGGGCTTTCCAGAGATACAAAACCAAAAGGATGTGGAGAAAGGACGAGATACATTAATAAACAAGAGGGGATTCTCCAGGAGCTTTGGCTCATGTGGCTACAGAGGCTGAGAAATCCTGTGACACACTGACAGTAAGCTGCAGAGTTGGGGAATCCAGGAGCAAAGGTGCCTACCTCCAAAACCCTCGGATCCAGGGAATACAAAGGTGTCACTCTCAGTCTGAAAACAGAGGCTCCAGGTCCTGGAGGGCAGTGGTACAAGTCCTTCTCACACCTGTTTCTCAGCAGTTGACACCAAGTGGATCTAAGGCAGATGAAAACTACACCACTGTGGCCCTATTTGTCCTCCTCGACTCTCAGATCAAAGAGCTACAGCCCTTCCCAGTCTTCCTGGGGTTCAGTCCTGTGACTGCTCTGGGACCTGGGTGTTATCACCCTCATTGGCGTGGACACCCACCATACACACCTCTGTAACTCTTTTCTCAGTTTCCTGTTATGCTTTCAGACTTCTTATGAGATTTTTTTTAAAAAATACTTCTTGTATTGCCTCTGTCACTCAGTATTTTGTTGTGGCCCAGGAGGGCGTGTTTCAGTGCTACCACTTTGCCACCATGGCTAAACTGTTATTTTAGTATAAAAATATTTTTGATTTTTGTATGTTGATTTTTTACCCTGAAAGTTCACAGAATTCATGTATTGGTTCTAACAGTCATTTTGTGAAGTCTTTATCATTTTCAATATAGATGATCATAGCATCTGCAAATAGAGATGATT